GTCTGGCGTAAAATGGCGAGGTTTTTGGGGAAATTCTCTTTGAAAAAAGTCAAAATAGAAAAATAATGAGTGTAGAAGAGACGAGCAATTGCATTTCAATTTTAATAAATGCCTTGATCCTTATTTCCTTCATGTTTTGCACCTGCACTGTGATAGAATATTTCTGAATTTGGTTTAGGTTGAATTTGGTGAAATTTTCATATTTGTCTATTGAGTTTTTGTATAGTTCATATAAGGGGTGTCAGTACATGAGCACAATTTATATTTATTTTAGTTGTTAAAGTGTTTAATTTCTAGTCAAATGTTTTATACATTCTTTGAGCTGGCACTAACTTTGCATTGGTGGCAATAAATTTGAAAGTCTATTTGGGTAAAGCTCGATCTAATACTTGATTTATTTTTAATTTCTTTATCTTTTCCTTTTAATAATGCTTTTGCTTGAGGACAAGCAAATAAATAAGTGTGGGGAAATTTGATAAACATTATTTTTATTGGTATTTTAAATAATCTTTTTATAGTTATTTTGCAATAGCTAACTAATTATATATATATATTTCTATTATTATTGTTATAAATAGCTTTGTTAATATTATTTAATTTTAGAATAGTTTTTACTGAATTTGATTATTATTTGACTTCTATCTGATCAATAATTCCTTAATCCCATTTTAATAAGATTATTATTATTATTATTATTATTATTATTATTATTATTATTATTATTATTATTATTATTATTAATTGAGTTAATAAAATTGTTGTTAGCCGATTGTTTGATTGTTTTAGGGCCATCAGATAAACAATCTTTTTAATTATTTCGGTCAATTGGCGAGGAACGAGAAAGGCGCAGCAAATCAGTGCCAGTATTCCGCAGATGGATTCTTCTGGCAATCCGGTTGATCAGCGGGAGCTCAAGCGGAAGCTGTTGGATTTAGGCATTATAAATAGAAGAAAACTTGAGAATCAAGGACATCAATTTTCACTCCGGACCAATTCCGGTCGGAGGTGATTTCCCGGTGGTCGACGGCAACGAATTCTGTAGCCGTAGTGTTCGGCGTTGGGGAAACAATTTGGGCGGCAATTTCCGGCTATGCAGTCCGTCTCTGGTGTTCGACAATTCAATAGAGAGTTATCCTTTGGAAAATTAAGCAATTCAAATTCTTTGCAGCAATACAATTAATTACGGCAATTCTCTTTGTCCCCTTTTCTTCATTATTTAATATTGTCAAAATTATATTATAATTATTCTTTGGGAAAAGCAATGTTGTGTAAGCTACTTGCTGGTGTTTTCTTTATGATTTGCTAAATAATCTTTTTAGGAACAGGATAATTTTCATGAAAGTCTCATAATGTTAATTATCATTATGCACCCTTATTAATTAATTAATTGATTTTCTGCTTCCTGATAATTTACTTGTTCACCTTCTTACGTTTTGATTCAATTATTCATTCGTTTTTAGCTTCATGATTTTAATTACTTTGCATTTGATTCTTAATTAGCTTTGAACCTTCAAATCGTTTAATTAGTTAATTTAATTTCAAGTCATTAAATTGCATCGTACAATTCTCTGTGGGATCGACCCTTGCTTTTGCACCTTATTACTACAGTGACTCGCACTAGATTTGGAAAATAAGTAGTTTTACACTTATAACACGTTAAGCCAGTCAAGAACATAGATATAAGCCAAATAGGTTCACAAGTATATAGATATACATATACAATATCAGTACTTATTTATAGGCACTAAGCTCACATGCAGGTGTAAATCATGTACGAACACTTATGCAATTCATATACATATACTTATTACACACCAACAAGATATGAAACTAGATGACTTAATAAATCAAGAAGTAAGCAAAGTGACATGTAATCATGTGAATAACCAGATCATAGCAAGACGATAAGACATCATATCATGCTTAACATTGGGAATCAAGTGACATGACAACTCGACAATGATGGATGAATCAATGGAACAACATGGTGGAACTAATACTAGACATGAAATCAAAATCACTCACTCTCGCAAGGAAACGGTATTTTATATATAGAGATAGTAGTAGTGGAGGGGGCATCATATTTCCCATGAATCATAATCATCCCTCAATCTCATCGTATCACAATCTCATCATATCATCACGGTGGGGAGGTAGGAACTTCACCATGTGTGAAAGAACCTATCGTGGCTCAGTAACTCATTGCTGGCCTAACAACGTCTCGCCCACATATCTCATAAGTAACATGGAAACAAGACCCGCTACCTTAGGTGTGCGCACCCCCTAACTGGGATTCCAAGCGCGCCCTACGAGTAATAGCTCAAGCCCCAAAGTAAACTCATGATTTTTTTACCAGGCTACTGTTATATTTCCGATAGTGTTCCACCGGGTCTCATCACAACATTTTCGGGAGTGTTCCACCGGGTCTCTTTTCATCACAACATTTCCGGGAGTGTTCCTTACAACATTTCCTTTCAAGTAACCGGAATCTGAGGACCACCTCTAGGATATAAAGATTTTCCTCACGTAGTAGTACATACATTTTAGCAGACAAATGACATACTACGCCTAGATAGTAAATTTAGTTTGGGAAAATAGGAGATACGAGATGAGCATTTGGGGTATAAAGTTTAGTCAAAACAATGCGGGAACATACGCAAGGACTCATAACCAAGGGATTCTTGTAACCTCAAACTCACGAAGTTATAAATTACTTCATACTATTGACCACATAATTCAACAATTTAGACATGATCAAGATATACTTACAACTCAATTAAAACATGCCAAATGAGTACAAAAATTAGGAATCATGCTCAACACTTATAATAATCCCAAAGTTGGTATACACATCAAATAAGTAGATACATCATGCTTTTGTTGGGAAAACAATTTTGTACACGTAACACATAACATTTTTAGAACAAGTCCCCGAGTCTACGAGTCACGGAAACCTGCAAAACACAAGTGGCCGGACCCGCGGCCATGGCAGGTGCCCTTGGCCACACGGTCTGGGCGGCAGGTTTCATGAGACCCGCTGCGCCAACCGCGCAGCTTGGGCGAAGGTGGCAGGCCGCGATGGCAAAAACGTAATTGAAAAATTGAGCCTTGTTCTAAATAATCAAAAGAAGATTAATTAAATGAGAAAAAAAAATTAACCTAAATTTGTTTTTTTTTTTTTTTTTATAAATGCAAGAAAATGATTTTCAAGGTTCATGATTTATAATCTTTGATGTTCAACTTAGAATCTATGTATTTAGTCAGGCTAATTATTTGACCAAAGTTTATGTTAAATTTTATATTGTATTTTTTTAATACATTTTAACATATTTGTAGTATATGTTTAACAATTATGCCAACTCTGATTGGGATGTGGTTCGAACCTTAAGACCTTTCTTATAGAAACTAATGAGTAAGTTAAGAATAATAAATAGTTAACGGAATATTCTGTTACTAAAGTTTATACTAACGGAATGCAAGGTTATTTAAGGAAAAATAATAATATAATAGAGTGTAAAGAAAAATCATAAAAATACTAAAATCAAAATAATGTGAACCATTCATTTCAACCAACAATTACACCAACATTTGTTTAGTTCCCGTTAGGAGCCTAACTTTATTGGCTCTTATTAGATTTGTATATTTGTATTTGTATGTATTTGTATTTGTATTGTATGTATTTGTATTTGTAGACTATTCCAATATATAATGTGTACACATATTATTATCATTGAAGAATATATATATATATATATATATATATATAAAAGATATTGTGTATGTTGTGCATAGTAAGAATAATGGGAAAAGATAACAGAAGTTACAACGGTAGAGATATTTTTGTTCAAAAAATTGTATAGCAAAACTCTTATAGCATAATGTATAAAAAAAAATTAAAAGAAAAAACGGACATAAATCAAGGGTATAACCTGAATTGAGACCTATTATGTTTTTAGATTTACAAATTAATTTATACATAATTTAATTTTTAAAAATTTATAATACATAATATATATTGGCATTTGGCATATATAAGAAAGGGACAAACTACAATATCTAAAACCTGAGTGATAGCTAAATTTGACAAGATTTACACTTAAATAAATGTAAATCTTAAAAGATATGATAGTTGTAATTGTTAGTTGTCAAGAAAATATTTGAAGCCATCTCTTCTTTTTTTAATTCCTTTCGCATTTCAATATTTAACGAAAAATATTTATTTAGTGTCAAGTATTCTATTGTTCAAATGTTACAAAATGTTTAAGTTGAGAGGGCAAAGTGGTAGTACCATCAAGGGTATAAATCTAAGTTGATTTTGAACAATTATCCATGAATATGACAAGTTTCAAAAAGAAAATTTTAGCTTCTAAAATTATTTTCACACCAGAACAAATTAAAAATGAATTCTCATAATTTTTTTAGTTTGAGTTCGGACTCGAACAAAATATAAAATGAGTATATAACAAATATCGATGCATGCGTAATGTAACGCATACTTTTCAATAAATGCATTTAATAATTCAACGTATATATTTAACAAAAATAATTTCAAACTTTTCAACTAATCGCTTACTAGTCATAGTAATTTATTGTTGCCAGGTATAGGTTGATGCAATGTATTTGACTAAATCATTTGAGATTCCCTGAATTAAGCATAATCATAAAATTGGTGAGTTTCAGTAATCTTCAACTTGTTAGGAAAGGAAATGAATGGATATCAGAAGAAAAAATACCAATAAAAATAAAAATAACCAATACAAGAGCCAAAACATTACAGAATAGCAATCAAGTTCACAACAAAATTGAAAGATTTGCATTCATTAGTACAATATATTTTATATTACATGACTGGATTTCATCTACCACAAACTGAAATCAAAGAACACCATAAGTCCATAACTAAGCTTCATCGACAACAAACTGAAACAAACAACATAACTGGACTTAGAAAACGGAAACACTGGGGAGAAGAACAAGAGAGGTTCTTAGGCTTTCGGGATTCACTTGCGAATCCATACTTCCTTGCCTTGAATTGTGAAAAATGCTTTCTCCAGGCCTCTAAGAATCAAGTGAACGATTCTTGGAGAGGTGAAGACAATCAGGGCAAACATCGACTGATCATTGGGCTCTACCACCTGCTGCATAGAGATGGACTCCACACAGTCGCCATACATTCTGTTGAAGTAAATCCAAAGCTCCCAATCAGAAACAGGATAGCCATTTGAAAAAGTAGCATACATTGTCCTGTTGTCTTTTGGCTCCTCCATGCGCAAAGGAGGCATCGCTGATCCAGACGACTCACCTGTGAGCGTGAGCCCTCCGAAACTTTGTATCTTGGGATCAATGGGAGGCACCACCGGTTGAGATGACTCACCTGCGAATCGGAGTCCTCCAAACCTTTGTATCAAGGGACCAATGGGAGGCACCACCGATTGAGATGATTCACCTGCGAATCTGAGTCCTCCAAACCTTTTTTGTATCATGGGATCTATAGGAGGCACCACTGACTGAGATGACTCACCTGCGAATCTGAGTCCTCCAAACCTTTTTATCAAGGGATCAATGGGAGGCACCACCGATTGAGATGATTCACCTGCGAATCTGAGTCCTCCAAACGTTTGTACCATGGGATCAATGGGAGGTACCACCGATTGAGATGACTCACCAGCGAATCTGAGTCCTCCAAACCTTTTTTCTATCATGGGATCTATAGGAGGCGCCACTGACTGAGATGACTCACCCGTGACTTCAAATCCCCCAAACCTTGATGTCATGGGATCCATGGGAGGCACCACTGACCGAGATGACTCACCTGTGACTTGGAGTCCTCCAAACCTTGGTATCATGGCATCCTTCGGCTCAGCAACAGGCGGTGGCATCATGACCATTTGAGTTTTGAGCAACTGTCGTTCAGCGTTTCTCGTGATGGCCATTTGGATGAGATCGTCCAATACCTTGACACAAACAGTCTCCACAACCATTCTGATGCCAGATAATGCACTGGTCCGGTTTTCATGGAAGAATTTTAGAGACAACTGCTTTGCCAAGACATTTTGAGTGAGCGTAATCTCACTTGCATCAGAAGAGAACAGATACATGTCATCTGTGATGCATCTAAGGCAAGACAGAGCTTCATCAGCAAGTCCATTGATCAATTTTATGGGTGATGACAGGACTTTATCCACAGCATTTTTTATTTTATTCTTTTCCAACCAAATCCATAAGGCAATTATATTCACAGATACCTTAGGATCACGCTCAAGCTCAAAAACAAGGGTTGAATAAAGTTTTCTGTCTATTTCATGGAAAAGATTCATCAACTCAACAGAAACTTCAGGATAGGCAGCATCCATGGCAAAATATGTTCTTAGTTGACAAGACCTGTTCACATGAAATTCACACCATGAGACTGCCGTGAATCTACCAAAATGACAAGAAAGAGTAAAAGACAAGAAAAAAAGGTAGGAAGATATGAAGCATGCCAAACCAAACCAAAGAGACTCTTCACTGTGAACAATAAACCTAAAAAAATAGAGCCTGGCCAAGAATCATAACTAGGAAAACAAAAAAAAAAAAAAAAAAAAAACTAGAAATGGACGAGAAACAAAGTAACACACAGAATTTCATCCAAGCTATAGTCAATACATCACCCAGATGTCAAATGGCTGAATGATGGTGCTGAAATCCTCAATCAAAAAAGAGTCAGAGAATGTAGTATCTCAGCCTTATGAAGGAAATTCGCAGATGACAATCATACAGGAAAAAGCAAGTCACATACAAAACTAAGGTGCAAAGGAAAAACATTTTTTAAAAAATTATTAGTTTACTTTGAAAAAAAAAAGAGAAATATGAAGGAAAAGAAGAAACCTCGAGAAAAGGACGTTCTCCTTATGAATTCATCAATGCAGTCTTCTACACTGACCCGTATTTATAGGCCTCTTAACACTGCCACGCGCTTCAAGTGTGAGGTAGTGGACTTTTTATCAACTAATGATATACTAAATCAGAAGTATGAATTACTATAATCTGAAAATACTCCAAAAGTAACAATTTTTAGTAGGTTCAGTTAATAGCTGTAGATACTTTTCTCAAATACCACGCCACCACGGTATACAATCATAATTTTTCAGTTCTTGTTGATATAAAAGATAGGCCTTCAAAAACCCCAGCCCTCCAAATTAGGGGATATTACTTTATAGTTCCAAATAAGATAATACCTAGAAATTACCTATCAGAAACAAGAGAAAAAAAAAAAGGTCTAGCATATATCTTTCTTCCTAGCCTTCATAAGTTCATCCGAACCAGAATAAATTTTGGTTTCATGTTCATTTGCCATTTCAAAGACTCCAAAATCACAATATTTTTTTACTTTTTATTTTTTGTGTTTTTGAGCATTATAAGCTACTAGTTAAGTATTCAAGTGTTGGTTCACTGCTAGGTGTTTTAACCTTTGCACAATGGGGGACTAAGTGAACTCTTGTGAATTAAAAGAAACCAATCTCATTATGTGTTAAATTGGGCACCACACAACATCCTAATACATTATCTTTGCATATAGGAAATAAATTTAGGATATTATTGATGGAAAAGGAATAATTTAATTTAAAATGGAAGTTTGAAATAATTAATCATCATACAGTCTTTTTACTGTTATTATTACCTTATTCTGACACCGCTTAGTGTTGATTAATTAGTTCAATGTCCTGCCTGTACTCGGTCTAATAGATTTGCTTATGCAACATAATCATCCACTAATAGGAAAAAGTATGCTCTTGCTATTATCCTAGGGATTCTGTAAGCCTTTCTTACTTATTACGGAGTATTATTATTTTTAGTTCATCTAATATTTTGTGTTCACTTTGTTGTATTATTCTATAGATAATACAAGACTTGTTGTTTGTATTGTAATATAGATAAATTTTGCGTCCACTTTGAATTTCGTGAGCATAGCTAATACTCCATCTATCATGGTTTAGATGTCCTATTTACTATTGATTGGTCACATCTTATTCCTTCACTTACTTTCTTTGAAAAATTATTATGAATCTATATACTTGGACAGCCTCTATTAAAAAAGAATTTGTTTATACAGAGAATCAACCTTCCAAATTGTGCTCTGACATGTCTAATTTTCTCTTTAATTGGACTTGATCCCAAATATGGAGCTTGAATACACTCAAATCAAACCAAATCATGTTTGCCTTGATTTGAATTGCTTGCAATCCTAATTCTTTATTGCTTTTAAGTGATAATTTTAACTGTTAGACATTCATAAAATACCATCACAACTCAAAATGGTCAGAAAATGGTGAAAAGAGAAACCTAATTCAAAAGGTCTTAAGTAGCACATTCTTCCTTTCAAAAAAAAAGCAGCACATTCTTAGAAAGTTAAATGTGGACTAAGAGGAGCCTGCATTGCCCCTTTTTTTCACTGTAAATTCAAGTCAACCCTGTTTTGCGCATCTATAAACCGCATACTTAATGGCAGTTATTTACTGTTGCGAATGCAGAAAGAAGAAACTAACAATATACTTTATTACAGAGAATAAAAATAGCAAATATCAAAGAAATCATTCCAAAACACCTTCTGCCAGGTTTAAATCCCATACCTTAAATGATCTTGTGCTGGCAATCCATACTCCAGTTCTCAACCACTGCCACCATTTCCTGTCTTTTTTAGCTGAGCCACAGATCCTGTCTTTTTGGAAATGGTAACTTTTGCTTACAATGCTTTTCATTTACAATAGCTTGAGTGTCTCTACCATTGTAAAATCGAGTTGATGCACAGTCCAAGGCTCCAAGCTGCCAAAAGAATTGAATAATTAAACAGAACTGTCAACTTCCGAGAAGTTTAATACAAAGCACCAACTTTATGTTACCAAGAATCAGAATATTGTAACAAGACTTGTAATGAGAGTGACCAGGCCTCCTCCCTGCAAGGATGTTATGTTCCCGCGCAAACGCACGCGTCACAGGGTGATTAGGATTATTGGGGATTGTTTTTAGGTTGTCTATGTTGAGAGGTAAAGTAAAGGGATTAGGGAGCAAGGATAATAGGAACATTTTGAGAGTTTTCCCACCTCTGATTTTAACTTAACTTCTTTCTTGCTTGTCCCCTTTATTAAAATGGAAATCCCCAGAGGGTTACAAAGACTTAAATAAAACATAAAAAGGAAAGGAGAAGCATTAAAGCTCCTTACCATAATTATTCGCTATCTCTAAAGGAAATAAATCAATTATAATAATAAAGATTTTAGAATCAATTTTCTTAATCATACCAAAGGACAACACAATAGTTTAGCCCTCCCTATCAAAAAACAAAGAGAGCACTGATATCCAGCAAACCTGGGAAAGACTTTCCGAGGTATGCTAGGGGTTATAACACACAAATGCTTAGCACAAGCCCAAAAAATGCATGTACACATCACCTTATTGCTTTCATCTTTGACAAAAAATAGTAGGAATTCTCTAGGTCAGAGCAAATTGAGGTAAGAGAGAAGTAAAGTCTAAATAGAACACCTAAAATAGATAAACCAAAGGTAAAACAATTTATATAGATGAGTACATACTGAAAATGCCCATCAGCAATAACCAAAGGGAGCAACAGCCACATCTTGAAAGCCAAAAACTGCTTATAATATATTCCCACCACCATGAACATTTATATGAAATAAGGTTCATAAGGAGACAGAAAATCAAGCTACACTGAATGTATCTTATCTATTCCTTCATGGTGGTTATGCTAGGAATTGAAGCTGCAGCACCTTGCGGATCAGATAAGGATAAAACTGAGAACTTCTGCTGCAGTACTGATGAGGAGGATTCATTCCTAGACATTTTTGTTCTATAGTTGGAAGGTTTCTTGTAAATCACACCACAACTGTGCTGGTAACTACTATTGATGCCAAAGAAATTCTTGCAAATTTTTGCGTTTTCGTGTGTATGCATTCTCTGGCTTGACAATATCTTTGAGAGAGGAATGGGAAGACACATCCGATAGACTGGTAAAAGATTTGGATTTACCATCATAGAATTTCGATATACCTCTCCTCAAAATGGGAAAAGAGGAAATATGAGGACTATGAAGCTAGCATAACACTCTATTAACGCATTATCCCCTAGGAATAAACATTAACTAGTTAAAGAAATTTCATCACATGTGAAAGATACAAGGAAATGTCCAATGATTTCAACTTCAATATATCCAAGCAGAGAAAAAAGCAGTAGTGAAGGTTGCAGCATTTCAGAAAATATCAAGTTCTTTTTGCATGACCAAATGTGGACCAAATATCTGGATATATTTTTTATCATATAATTATATATTCACTGGGACATCACCTAAGAACATTATCTGAGTGTCAGAAAGAAAATACTCCAGGACCTTTCCCTAATGACACTTGTAGACCTTCTAAACATGCAAGTCATTATTCATATTCTTCGTGCCAACACAATAATTTTACGGTTTTACCAGCCTAAACCCTAAAATAAAATTTAAAAATAAAATTAATTTTCAGATTACATTTTTTCTATTGGCCAGTATCTATGGCATGCATTGCCCATATATTGAATAATGAAACTTCTGTAGGTTCTTGGCCAGTAATTTATCTTTCAAATCCATTACATTCTTGATTGCTAACCCCATTTATTGTGTGTAACATTTATGATAAATACTCCGAGTTACATAAATTGATTTCTTGAAGATGCAATACATTAACATATCTAATTTAGATTCTAATGAAGTAAGCTCATAATTTCAACCCTTCACAGTCAGTCGAACATTAGTCAAGAAAACACATGCATCTATTTCTTAATCCACATCATACTGAATACAGAAATGAGCATTCAATAGTTCACATATATAAATAGAATCTTCAACATTTAACTGCAATTAAATGATGCGCATATACTAACACAGAAACCTAACTATAACATCAAATTTACTGGCAAAAGTACCGCCAAACTATGAAATTAACAGCAACAATCACATGGCATTACATAATATAGGCAGATTTGAAGAAAAAGTTTAATAAAATACAACGAGAAAGGGATCAAAGCTACATACTTCAACGGCAAAGCTTCCTCCAAGTGCTCCAAACTGTCGAGAGCACCACCTTTTGCCGAGCTCTGCACTTCCTCACCATCACCGTCGACATCACCAGCAGCTGCAGAGTCATAGCTGATCCTCCCAATAGAAGAGGAGGACAACGAAGAACTGCGACCATCATCATTCTCCACAATGGCCTCGCCACGCTGTCCTGCGACGGAGAACTCTGGCGATCCGAACATCATTCCGGTAGCGAATTCCGGCAGTCCGGTCGGACAATCATCGGAATTGCTCGCCCGCAACGCAATCGACACATACAAGGCGATTATGCATATATACAGATAGAGATTATATGCTCTAATGTTCATTTGAATATGCAGAGGGAGCAAAGACCTGTACCAGTATATATAGTAATATAGGCACGCACAGAGCGAGACAAGCTTGTATAAAGGAAATGGAAAATACACTTCACCTCCCAAATTCTATTATCAAGTTTTACTTCATCTCTCTCTTCACATTTCTCTTGCGACCCACGAGATGAAACTTATCATTCTTTACAAAGAGTGAGGAAGTAAAAATACGAATACCTAACTCAAATGAAATTGAGAGTGTATTTGGATGGTAGGTTTAGACACTATAAATAAGAATCAAAATCATAATTAATGTTGATAGACAATTTTTTAAAACATAATTATAAGTTTTGATTACCCCTTCAATTAAAACATTATTTCCAAATTAAAAAGGTTATCATTCCATCTCGTAATCTAATTTTTAAGTTTGAATGATTATTTTTAGATTTTTGTTTGAATATTGGTGTTCTAGATATCATTTCATTGAGATTAATTGCCTTATTTTTTGTTTTTATAATTTTAGAACTTGTATTTCAATTATAGGATCATACATAACCAAACATCAATATTGGTAATCATTCCAATTTTATCATACTACTAAGCATGCAAAATGATATCACCAAAATCTTTCGCAAGTATTTGATTACCATTTTGATTCTCATGTGCGAACCAAACGCACCTTGAGATTCACCATACTAAAGAGGATGAGAACTGTAATGAATTCTATTAACAGTGATGAATTACAAGAGTATAATACCTAGGTATATATACAAGAGGAGACTTAGGGAGACTAGGATTGGAAATCATAAGTAGACTCAAATACATAGATAGAGTCCTAATACTCCCCCTCAAGCACATGGTACATACGTGACCTGTAGCTTATCTCTAAGAAAAGAAAACAAGGACCTGCTAAAGCTTTTGTAAATATGTCAGCAAGTTGATCTTGGTGGAAATAAAGTTGACTTGAATCTCTCCCTTGACAACTCTGTCTCTCACAAAATGATAGTCAATTTCAACATGTTTAGTGCGATCATGAAAATGGGATTAGCACACAAATATGTAGCACCAAGATTACCACACCACAACTTTTTAATGGAAATCCCAGTGACATCAATCTCACGTAAGAGGGAGAGAACCCAGATTACCTCAGCACAAACATCAGCTAAACCCTTGTATTCAGCCTTCGTAGAGGATCTTGCAACAGTTCTTTGCTTCTAGCATACCCAAGATACAAGATTTGACCCAAGAAAAACAGTATAACCACTGGTTGACTTACAATCCTCAGGGCAGCCAGCCTAGTCTGAGTCCGAGAATGCATGTAACTCTCTTAACTCAGATTTTCGAATACGTAAACCATAAGATAGAGTCCCCTTGACATACCTCAACACACGTTTGGCTTGTTCCCAATGAGTGATTGTAGGAGCATGCATGTGCTGACACAGTTGATTGACTGCAAAGGATTAATCTGGTCTGGTGATAGTGAGATATTGAAGAGCTCCAGCCAGACTCCGATACTTTGTAGGATCATCATACAAATCTGTAGAGGTAACAAGTGATTTCGAAACAGGTATTGGAATGGAAAGAGGTTTGCAATCAGTCATACCAGCACGTTTTAAAATATCCATAATATATCGTTGTTGAGATAAAAGAATTCCATCACCGCATTTAATGGTTTCAATACCTAGAAAGAAACCTGGTTCACCAAGATCCCTGATTTTGAAAGCGGTAGATAATTTCGATAATAGATAATTCACAAGATTTGGATCACTGCCCATTACTAGAATGTCATCAACATAGACAAGAAGATAAACATAAGTAGAATTTTTGGAATAATAAAATAGTGACACATCCGTTTTTTATGCCTGAAAACCAATGGATAATAAGATATCATGAAGGCGGTTAAACCAAGCTCTTGGGGCTTGTTTCAACCCATACAAGGATCTCTTCAACAAACAGACATGATCAAAAAATTGAACATTATTATATCCAGGTGGTTGCCGCATGTAAACAGTTTCAGTCAAATTGCCATTAAGAAAAGCATTATGAACATCTAGCTGTCTCACAGTCCAACCAGAGAAGATATAGCCAGAGAAAGAAGTAACATGACTGTAGTAGGCTTGACAACCGAACTGAAAGTGTCAAAAAAATCTTGACCGGGAACCTGATTAAATCATTTTGCTAACAGTCTTGCTTTGTATCTCTCAATTGAACCATCCCCTTTCCTCTTGGTTCGAAACGCCCATTTACATCCAATTATATTTTGCTCAGGTTTAGATGGAACCAGATTAAATTCCTCATCCATGGCTTTGCGCTATTCCAAGTGTTTGACAACATGTGTGTAACAAGTGGGATCAGTGGTGCAAACTTGAGCTGTCAAAGCTGCAGGAGGTGTGCGAGACTGACTCCGTGTTTCCATATCATGTGTGCGGCTGTTCAGTCGGGTGGAGCGGCCCCTTGAGCGACCGCGCGGGCGGGCAACAGCGACCATGACAACCTCTTGTGCTGTCTCGGTCGCAATAGGCTCTGCTGGCAGTGTTTGTGCTGTCTGTTCAGGCGCTGCCGGCAGTGCTGGTGCGGTCCAAATCGGTGCAACTTGCTGTGCCAATTCGGACTGAACCGGATTGATCACCACGGGGTGAAGAATAGATGCAACCCACGGTTTAGGATGAGAATCTGAAATTTTCTGCACAGAAATTTTAGTGGCAAAAGGAAAAACTGTTTCATCAAATCTGACATGCTTGCATACGAAGACCTTATTAGTCTGTAAGTCCATACATCTATAACCCATGAAAGACTCGGGATAACCAAGAAAAACACACAGAGAGGATCTGTAGGACATTTTATGACGATTATAGGGACGTAAGTGAGGATAACAAAGACAACTAAAGACACGAAGAAAGGAATATGAAGGAGGAGATTTATGCAATAAAGAATGGGGACTAGAATTATTTAAAATAGCATAAGGCATTCTGTTAATTAAATAAACCGTAGCCTCAAATGCAAAATTCCAAAATCTAGATGGAACAGAGGCACGAGCCATAAGAGTGAGCCCAATTTCGACAATATGTCTATGTTTTCGCTCTACATAGTCATTTTGTTCGTGAGTATAGGCACAAGATTGTCTATGATAAATTCCTAATTTTGTGAGAGAGGAATGCAACTTTTTGTACTCAGCACCTAAATTAGATTAAATAGATTTAATCTCATGATTGAAAAGTCTCTCAACAAGGACAAGAAACTTTTCAAAAATATCATAGAGACCAGATTTCTATTTCATGGGAAAATACCAAGTAAAACTAGAAAAATCATCGATAAAGAGAATAAAGTATTTATAACCATCAGAGGATAAGAGAGGAGCTGGACCCCAAATATCAGTATAGATTAAATCAAGAATGTTTGAACTAGAAGTGTCAACACGTGGCAATGGAAAACGAGTAGATTTACCCATTTGACACGCATTACATAAACTAGAGTTACAACGAATAGCACTGCTAGACCCACTAACCGAACAAAAAAGAAGAACACGACTAAGGACACGATGGTGTGGATGGCCCAAACGATCATTCCAGATAGACGGAGACGCACGAGTTGAAAGAAAAGCGGAAGGGGATGAACTTGGAACTGGTAGTGTGTATAACCCACCAGAACTATTGCCCCGAAGAAGAATCTCCTTGGTGTTGATATCCTTCACAACAAAAAAAAAAAAGACGGGTGAAACTCAAAGAAGACCTTGCGTGGTGCCCCCTGGTCTGGAGGAGGTTATCGAAAATGATCGCCTCTATGCAACTTGGGCTCATAGTGTAAGGAACTAGCTTTCATTTTGGGGTATCCCCCTCCTTGTTAATCTAAAAAAAACTCTTACCTGGATTCCAAAATAAACAAAAACCCTTGAATCCCTACACTTGCTCTGCTACAATCTCCCCTTCTAACAAACATAAATATAAATAAAATAACACATGAGCACATAATTCACAAATAAACCTAGCCCATGATTTAAATAACTTACGAATCACTGGTGAATAGAGGAGAGAACCTGATGAGGACCGAGGAAAAAGACCATGATTGAATCGATGATGAAGAAGGAGTATAGGGGTGTGTGTCGGCTCGGTTCGGCTCGAGTGACACCAAATTTTATTTTGGATATCCAAAAATTTCAGGTGATGTTTTTTAAACTTGATATCTGAAACAAATTTAATTCAGATATATTCGATTCGGATAAAATTATTTCGAATTTATTTCGGTTAGTTTGGATATACCAAAAATTTTATTTTTTTCAATTTTGAATTTTTTAACAATTTTATTATTTTTGTATTTATATTTTTCTATATACTATCAAACTAAAAATAAGAAAAAATAGTAATTACTAATTAAGAGACTTTTAAGAATTAATATATTATTAAGAGTAAATACCCAAAATGGTCCCTCGACTATAGCTAAATTCACAAATTGGTCCTCGACTTTCAATTTCAACCAATTAAGTCCTTAACTTTGCAATTTTAACACAATTTGGTCCTTTGTCTATTTGACCGTTTGTTGACTGCGCTTTTTTAGGATATATATGTAATTTCATGGTCCATCGTCGATTTTTTAAGGTTCCAGTTGCATTTCTAGACCGCACTGTTACATTTGAATCCACTGCCGGCGCTGCACCCCATGTCGGAGAGATTATAGCTTTTGATAGATAGATCACCGAAGTCCCTGGAGCGGCTCTTCAAGAAAGCCGTGACTCCAAGCGATGTAGGCAAGCTGAACCAGCTCGCGATCCCCAAGCAGCAAGCAGAGAAGTACTTCCCCCCTCCGAAACAGCGCTGTCACCTCCAAGAGCGTTCTCTAAGCTGAACCGGCTCATGATCCCCAAGTAGCAAGCGGAGAAGCACTCCCCCCTCCGAAACAACGATGTCACTTCCAAGAGCGTTCTCTTGAGCTTTGCACGTGAAATTAAATATATATCCGCAAAGATCGCGGCCAACAAATGGTCAAATAGATGGAGGACCAAATCATGTCAAAATTGCAAAGTTAAGGACTTAATTGGTTGAAATTGAAAGTCAAGG